GCATAGTCTGATGGAAAATTACCTACAACTAAGAACACAAAGAGTAAGAATAAATGACAGTCTAAGTGATAAAACAGTTATACGGTACGGTGTTCCTCAAGGAACGGTCCTGGGGCCATTACTTTTCAATATTTATCTCAACAATCTATTCAAACTAGACTTGAAAGGAGATGTGGTTAGTTTTGCTGATGATACGGCCATCATTTATGTAGATGAAGATTGGCAGACGTTGAAGGACAAAGCAGAAAGTGACCTGCAAATAATAAAAAAATGGTTCGAAAAACGGCTATTGACAATAAACATCGATAAAACGCACTTCATGCCTTTCACATCATATTCGAAGAACTTGCCAAGTTACGAGTCCCTTCAAATAGGGGACAACCAAACGATATCCATGGTCCGACATATTAAATATCTGGGAATATTCATGGACTGTAATTTGAAATGGGATGTTCATATCAATTTTGTGATAAAGAAGTTACGTAGCACATTATCAAAATTCAAATATTTATCGAATGTTCTGAAAATTGACCAACTTCGAATACTGTATTATGCTTTGGTTGAACCTCATTTGAACTATGGCATTTTAGCTTGGGGAGCTGCTACAAATAACTACACGAAAAACCTCGAGAAGATTCAGAAATGGATCATCAAGATCATGTATAAAAAAGCATATACCTACCCTACTAATGAACTGTTTCGTGAAACAAAATTATTTGACACCCGACAACTATATTTCTTAACAGCCGTAGCGTGGCAACACACCCACAGAAATACATCAACACCAATAAACCATGACTATAACACACGACATAAAAATACTTCATCAACTATACCAAGACCTGAAAAAAACACCCTGCAAAGAAGTTATACCTACTTAGGGCCGAAAATATACAGCTTAATTCCTCAAGAATTTAAGCAATTCAATTCCAGTCAATTATTCAAATCGAAAATGAAACAATGGATTAGCCAACATCCACGACTCTTCATCCATCATCATATAGATTTAAAAAATTCATACCATAATTTACAATTTTGAAAATAATATATAAAATTAAAAATCATCTCAGAAGATTTTTTACTTGTATTTGCATATATATATTGTAGAAGTTGTATAGTGATAGTATTTCCAGGTCATATCATATGTCAAGAGTCATGGTATAAGTAGACATATTTCACTACCCACAAGGTTTGCCTCTTGGTGATTTGTCTACTATGACCAATTCTCTGAATATGATATAAGAAATACTATTTCCGTGAATTATTCCATATACTTTCACCCTCATCATTTCAATTTCATCATCATTACCATTAATCTGTAATATGTCATAATGTAAATTAGTTTAGATCTTATTATAATTATTATTCGATATCACTCCCACTACCAAGGTTGTCCTTGTTGGGATGTATGTCTTTATTCTTCAATTTTCTCTTATTTTGCTTGTACTGATGTACTTATAGGTAAATAAAATTATTATTATTATTATTATTTAGTTCATAGAATTCCAGTCACGACCCTGCGGCCTCCGACGTCACGCAGAGTCGTGCTGGATAAAATCCAGTGACTACTCCTCACAGCCTGTGAGGTGAGTAATCACTGGGACCAAGTACCGTGTGCCCTAAGTAGACGCAATGATCCCAGTATGACGGCCTTCTGCATTCCACCAGCCAGGATGTGTGCCTTATCACGGCACGCTGGGATTTTCTGGATCTCCGAGAGCAGCGTGTGTCGTGTGCCTCCTAGGGAGCCGATTATCAGGATGACCAATTCCACAGAATGGTCTGGATAGAGCCGGCGGAGTTCGAAGAGAAGATCTCGATATTTAGTCCGTTTTTCCTCCTCCTTCAAAACGATGTTCGGTTCGGCTGGCGCCGAAAACTCGATCACGAACATCGCTTTGGTTTGATGGTCGAGGAGGACTACATCAGGCTTGTTAGCTTGTATCTGCCTGAGGGTGGGGAATGAAAAGTTCCAATAAATTCGGCACCTCTCATTCTCCACAACGGACTCAATATCTCCCGGAGCATAGGGCAGCACTGGGGTCTCGTCTATTCCGTACGAGTGCCTCAAGTGATAATAAAGCACTCGCAATGCCGCATTGTGTCTATGGATATAGGCCGAGACTGCATACACCGTGCAAGAAGACAGCAGGTGCATAATTGTCTCGGGCGCCCTGCGGCAGGCCCTGCAATTTGTGTCAGGGACCTCCATACCCATGACACGGCTACGGTAGACGAGAGTGTTGAAAACCCCATCCTGGCATGCCATGATGAACCCCTCTGTTTCCGATTTAAGCCCGCCTGACTTAAGAAAAGCGAAAGTCAGTTCTTTGGATAATTATTATTATTATTATTATTATTATTATTATTATTATTATTATTTCCGTTATTGATATCTCTACAATATTTAATTTTTCGTTGGTAGGAAAATTATTCATACATATTCACTAATTCTCGTATTTTATTCGGGACTCATTTTTGAAAAGGAAGACATTTGAACTAAACAAAAATATCACCTGAAAATCCTCAATGTAACAATACCATAGTATAGACACAAGATGAGTGGCACCCATATCAATTTATGACATATCAAATTCAATTATTATAGCATCAAAATCTCATTATTTTTATTATTATTGCTGAATTTCCCAAAGGTTAATCTTTGAACAAAAAGGAGAAATAACAAAGTATATAGGTTTGCAAAAGTGAAAGGTACTGAAAATTCGAAAATGTTGAAAGAAATTCATCGCAAAAAATATATATTCAAGGTGAATCAGGAGAAGTATTACCAACCTGATTTTCGCTCGAAATAATCTAAATATTCGTAGTGGCACTGTGCCCTGAAGGAGCAAAGTTCGGTATCCCATGTTGGGAGTTTCAACTAGTAATGAGTTTTCACTAATGATTTGATTGTATTTCCTCTTTTGAAAGGTTAATTCCCCGACATATAAAGATTGTATACCGTTAGACGTTATTCAATATGTGTATATAAAATATGTATATGTGAAAATGTATACATAAGTATTGTCAATATAATATTATAGTGCAAAACAAGTTCTCTTTCATAGCATATCCACCAAGCTTTTCAGAATTGTTGATAAATAGAATAACTTTACCAACTCAAACTTCAATATTAAGGTGAAAAGCTTCGATTTTCAATCTATCCTCGTGAGTTACTCCGCCAAATAGTTTGAAAAGTTTCATTATAGTTTTATTTATAGAAAAATTTATTTGTTTTCTTGCCTCTCTTCTGGCCTGACGTTCTCTTTTTCCCAGTTTTCTACGTGTCATAATATAAAAAAATATCTATACAGGGTATATATGGAAAATTATTACCAACCAGTGGAACACTAGCACGGTAATAGGGTGGGAAATTGATATGCCAACCAGTGGATCACTAGCACGGTAATATAGGTTAGGAGATTATTATACCAACCAGTGGATCACTAGCATGGTACCAGGGTAGGTATACCTATTCATATTGAAAAGTGAGCAAAAAAATGTTTTAAGGTCGTTCCGTAACTTCATAACGCCTATACCAAATAATGCATTTCAAATGCCAACACAGAATGTAAATGAATCGATAGAATTATTTGAATTTTTGACTATCTGTTGATGTTGATGAATACTATAGATCGTGGAAATGATATTTCGAATTCTTCCTTCAGTTTCTTGTAGAATGGCTTCTGAAAATGAAGAATTTGTTTTATTTTTTTAATTTTGTTCGCATTTATCCACATAAGATAATGCTAACATATTTCTATCGGCTTGTCGATGGGTCAAAATGATTATTTTTTTGCATTATGCATTTCAAATTGATTTTTGACTTGTAATCTATTTACGCTTACGATCTCCGCCCCTCGCTAGGCCACACCCTCGCTCCAATCAGAATGACCCATGACCGGCCACTTTACCACAGATTAACAAAAGGTTTGTTAATCTGTGACTTTACTTATTACCTACTCTGATTACTACCCCTTGACTCAGATTATTCAGTCTTTGTTGACAACTTGTGCTGTGTGTATTGTTAATTGTTCCATTTGTTCCGTAATTGCTTAATCATGGCGAATGGTAAAAAAACTCCACCATCGAAAGTTCTTAAGAGATCTAACAGATCCAAGTTGATGAAACAACTCAACGAAAGGAGGTAAGTTTCACAATATATTTATTTAGCAATATGCAGAGATATTATATTATTATTATTCCGGCTCACTAGGTATGTACGGGGTGATTGATTTTCATATTTTTATCGGAGCCCTATGCTTTTTGTCACTTATTGATTTTCATATTTTTATCGGAGCCCTATCCCTAGTAGCACACAATCTTGGCTGGGCATTGGCCCTATATTGGCCCAATATTGCCAATATCGGGCCAATATAGAGCCAATATCCAGCCAAGATTCGTGCTACTGGGGATGCTTTTTGTCACTTCCGTTCAGGAACACCCTACACGAATATTGCTAAATTATACATTTCTACAGGTGGGCGTTGTTAGCTGTCGAAGCTAAAAACAATTCTGTTGCTGATGCTGATGATTCCAAACGGTGCGTGTGTAATACTTTTATTAATATTATACATATACCTATAGTATGTCTGGAAAAGTCAGCAACAAATGGAAAACTTTATCATTATTAATTCAAGCAAGAAAACTATTTCTTCATAAAAAGGTCTGCGAAGCATAAAAACTATACCTTCAAATATCTGATCATTTCATTTACATATCAATACAAAAGTATTTAAAAAGTTTTCCATCTGTTGACAACTTTTTTCAGAAATACTGTATATATGATATAAAATAGTGAAGTTTGATCACGAAAACTATCTATCTGCTATTTTAGGCATTTGGATGTTATTGATGAAGATAGCCTTCCTCCGTTGGAAATTGAGTCTGATCCCCTCAGTAAACCTCTGACAGATTTGCTACAAGGAGAAAGAATAGTTGATTTGGCGTATGTTTTGAAACAATATGAAAATGTAGTTCAACATCCCCAACGCTGTACAATGGGCAGAATGGATTTCAAAAAAGAAACTAGAATTGGCATCGTTTCCAAGCTTCACTTTGAATGTGACAACTGCGATAAAACCTTCATCATTTGTACGAGTGAATCGCCAAATGGAAAATTGAATGATTCGGTTGTTTGGGCGAGTTTGTCCATTGGTATAGGACATAGTCAATGTGAAGAATTATTCGGAGTTATGAACATTCCATCCATGCATCAGAAAACGTTTGCCAATGAAATGGTATCTGTAAAAAAGGTATGTGTGACTTACCTGATTTGGGTGATTACAAATCTCATTAATCGTATAGGGTCCTTAAATAATGAATACATTATTGTAGGTCTGGGAAGAAAACTTACAAAAGGAAATGGAAAATAATGGGAAGAGAGAAAGGTCTATCGCATTGAAAATGAAAACACAACTGCTGATGGAACTCCATTCATAACAGTAATCGTAGATGGAGGCTGGAGTAAAAGAACCTATGGACACGGCTATAATGCCTCATCTGGTGTTGTAAGTTAATCAAAATATGATAGATATATGTATCTATACTCTATCAGTTCCTCATTAATAAAGTATTATTATCATCATTTTAGGGGATCATCATTGGTGCCGAAACGAAGAAACCATTATTTCTAGGAATCCGCAACAAATTTTGTTCTCTATGTTCCTATTATGAAAAACATGAACTTCCGCAAAAAAAACACGAATGCGCTCTGAATTTCAATGGACCTTCCACTGCAATGGAACAGGATATTATAGTAGAAGGTTTCTCAAAAAGTATAGAACAACACGGTGTTATTTTTAAATACATGATTGGTGAGTGACATTGACAACATTTTATTCTGATTTTTTATTAATTTGTCATGTTTGTTTTAGGAGACGGAGATTCTAGTGTTTATGCCCGTATTGTGGAGAGAGTTGCATATGGGCGTCAGGTAATAAAAATTGAGTGTGCCAACCATATGACACGTTGTGTCAGTGATAAACTGCATAAAATTTCCACGAACACAGTATACCCTTTAGCTGCTAGAAAATTACTGACATCTAAAGGTACTGAAGGTATATCTAGATTAGGGAGATTGGTAAAGGGTGTAAGGACTGCTGTCAAAACTAATCTGAATCAACCAAATTCGCTACGTCAGGAATTGAGGAATGCACCGTATCATATCTTTGGACGCCATGAGAATTGCAGGTATACGATTTAATAAATTACTTATCCTATAATATAAACTTCTCAAGAGTGGTGCAACATTTCTGATAAATACGTTTCTTCAACAGTTCATTTTGCAAACGGAAAGAAAGTAAGGAAGATGATCTTACACTGCAGCTGGACCAAAAATTCTTCATAGAAATAAAGAAAATCATCGAACCAATGATAAACATGGCAGACAGGTTATCATATAATCAAACCACAAATCAAGCTGAGAGGTAATTTCTGAAATTTCGTTGGAATCTTCGTTGCTTTCAAATATCATTCACATGCAGGTATATGTCTCTGGTGGCCAAATGTACAGGGGGTAAACGAGTCAACTTCACCAAAAGTTCCTCGTACACCGCTCGTTCTTATGCTGCAGACCTTTCTCACACAAACGGGCCAAGTTGGCATCTAAAGGCATTGAGAAATGGACCCTGTGGAAGATTCACTGATCAAATCTTCAATAGAAAGCAGAAGAAGCATGAACTGAGGAAAAGTCGGGGCTATATTTATAAAAACAAAAAAAAATGCAATTCCGGTACTGATATTTATTATGGACCACAAGCTGCATTACCAGATATCAGTTCGGATAATATGGCAGAGAGGAAGGATAAATTCTTGAATAAATTAGCAGAAAGAGTTTCATCTTCGCAAAAAATAGAAAATTTCGAAATATCCACACGGGGGCAACACGATAATAATTTATGGAGAGAGTTGCGGATGGATTACTTGACCGCATCAAATTTTGGTAAAGTTGTGAAGAGAAGACCAACTACACCTTGCCATAATTTAGTGAAACAGCTACTCTACCAAAAAAAAGATTTGAAGTCGCCAGCGATCATTTATGGGAGAATAAATGAACAAAAAGCAGTCAGCAAATATGAAGAAACGAAGAATGTGGAAGTTACTGCATGTGGACTTTTTGTTGATGCTACATTTCCATTTTTAGGTGCATCTCCTGATGGTTTGGTTGGAGATGATGGCATCATTGAAGTGAAGTGCCTACCTTTCATAGAAGGAAAATTGGCTGAGTCCAAAAAATCTACCAACTGATTTACTCTTGCTGATAATAATTGCATAAGGTTTGTTATTTTTCGTATAAAAATATAATATCTACTTGTGATGACTCGTTGAACTCAGAAAAAACGTTGATTTTCGTATTAGGAAAATATTTATTATTCCCTCTTTTTTTCTTAGATTGAAGGAAACACACAATTACTATTACCAAATCCAAGGCCAACTGAACATCACCAAAAGGGATTTTTGTGATTTCGTAATCTACTGCGAAAATGATTTCAATGTAGAGAGGATTTACAGAAATGAGAATATATGGAATGAAATGACTCCAAAATTGACAAAATTCTACAGAGAATGTATTCTTCCAGAGGTAATTGATGCCAGGGTACCAAGAGGAATGAAAATTACTCAACGAAAAATAGAATGAAAATATCAGAATGTACATACATAATACTTTATATAATTACTTACGGATACCCATATTATAACATTTTTATTAACCCGAGAACGCTCGCAACACGGTCGTTTTGCCGCCAAGCATTAATTTTGCTCCTCCCACATTTATTTGGGCCGGGATTTTACGACCCGCTCACAAGTCTTCCTAAGTCGAACCGGCGGGCCAGTTCACGTTTGGTTTCGGTCAGAGGGTGTTGTTTGGTTGGAGCTGAAAATTGACAATCGGTCGTTTCCACCGACGCGCGAGCATTTAGAGGTTTGTACCAAATTATTCATTGTCTACAAGGAAATTGGGGGTTATAATCAAGTAAATGTGGCAAAATAAATTAGATAATAGTAGATAACTCTTTATAGATACTGAATACCTTCAATAAACAGCACAAATACTGACGAATTTTGGGATTTTCTATAGTCGGTCAAAACGACCAGCCGCGAGCATCAACGTAACTTTTCATTTTTGTTCAGAAATATACCAACTTTGTGTTCATAGTCGATAGAGTTTTCATAAGAAGTGTATCAATAGCTGAATACCTTTGATAAACACAACACCACAAATACTGACAAATTTGGGGATTTCCTATAGTCGGTCAAAACGACCAGCCGCGAGGATCAACGTAACTTTCTAGTCGCGAGTGTTCTCGGGTTAATTGAATAAAAATTATATGAAATGCATGAGACTATATTTTCTGAAAAAAACCCTGTATACCTGAATCGATAATGTGAAAGTTCTCAGGCTTAGCCAAAGTATCTGGTTTTGCAGACTAGAATAAATAATAATTTCAGAAATTATCGCTCTGATTATGCAAATCAGTTTCTATACCTGACATCACCTCTTCCGAGGGTCAGTTGTACCTCTGTTGCTGATTGTAGGGAGGTGGGAGGAGCTTAACACTTCAAAATGTGATTATTCATATTGTCTATACAATCGCCATCTGGCGGAATTCAGTTGTCATGAGAAGGTGTGGAACAGCTTTAAGTAATGGAAATCAGAATAATGAACAGAATTCATGGAAATGAGTTTTACGACAATACAAGATTCCTAATGAATTGCGAAATATAACAGTGGTATACAACTTTATTTGATATGAACTAGATACTCAACAACACGTCCAAGGTCGTTTCAGACATAGTTTTACCTTGAACCTTCATAATCATCCTTGTCTACTAAGCTAACATGGATGGACCGGAATGAATCCTGGACCTATCCCACTACTAGGGTTCACTGAAATTGGTATCGCGATAAAAAGTAGACCACGGCGTTATTATATGTTTCGCATTTCATAGGATACTGTTCAATTGTTTGAGAAAAAAAAAGATTATCTGATTATATTGACCTCAGGATTCCAAGTCATGTGCAATGTTGGTACAAAAATTGTTGTTTTTTTCAAACATATTGTGACGAATATGTTTGCAGAAATCGAAAACCGGCAGGCCTCCACCATATCACACCTGTGAATAGTGTTCGGTCTAGGGCGTAGCTTTAGGGGTAGGTTTATGCATTCATGACTTGGAAATAACGAGGCAATTACGTAGAAATGTAAAACAGTTTATTTGAATCAAATGAAGCAAAGTGGAAAACACTAGAATGAATAGTTTATTTGAATTGAATGAACCAAAAAGAAAATACTAAAATGACCACAAAACCTGAACAACATATTATGAAATAAATCCTATCTGACACAAGGGTTACTCACCAGGGTAGAAATGTGTCAAACCACGACCTCATCGTTGGGCTCGGCAAGTACGACTGTCCCTCTGATTGATTTCCCTACTCCTCAGGTTGAATATGATTATTGATGATCAATGCAGTATCAGCAAGCAAGTACAATGCCCGCAGGGAATGAACTCGCCTAGCTGAGACTGCATATCGGAAATGGAAGCGAAATATGAATTTAACAAATAATATCTATACTGTTGAATAAAATGATTTTAAGAATTGATTCTATATTTGGTTCGTGAAATCAATCAGAATATGGGATTTTTCCTCAAGCTTGACAATATCATGGAAAATTAGTCTTCAAGTTCTGAATGGTTGGAGATGACATTTCGAGAATTACACAGATTAATATTATCTTTGAGTATTTACACTCAGTTTTCATTCGTAGGTTACCCGATTTCATCTTCGAATTTTGTCCGCCCTATATCCTATTTTCATCTGGTGGCGCCTATGGTCCAAGGTCACCTGATATATTGAAGAAAATTATGTTGGAGTAGTTGCTGTTTCGAAAAATGTTGTATCTCTGATGATAACGGAGTTTACATAGTCGATATATAAACATCAAACTAATTCACCTATTTGGTGATGCCACACTCACTCACTCCTTGACATCATTGGAACAACCGCGACCTCTCACTTGTTCATGAAAACTTCTACGGAAAATCTTCTTCAAACGTTCGGTTATCATTTTATCACTAGCAATACCATGCAGACAGACGAACTCGACAAAAAGCTTAGTACAGCACATCTATTTGTAGTCTACCTCGATATTTGTCGAACAACTCTATCAAAATTTCTTTGAAGTATTCCCAGAAACTTCCAAAATTTTTAATAAATTGGGATATTGCCTTTCGTGAGACAAAAAAAAATTTGCACTTTCTGCCCCAAATCACTCCCTCTTTCAGTCCGAACGGTACACATAATATGTACCACAGATGCTGCAAAATTCTGATTCACTTTATTCGTTTCAAGCGAGCAGAAAATACACCAATCCGATATGTAAGAACTTATGCATCGAAAAGACGCGTGAATGTTTGCAAAATCTAATAAGGTTATGTTCTCGATAATTAATGGGACTGTGTATATTTCGTGAAATTTTGATGTTTCTTTGAAAAATATTTGTGATTGTTCTGTCATATGAACTTTGCGAAAACGTGTGGTCTATAAGGTATGTAATAGTTGATCACATATGAATAATTTCAATATAGTACACATATGTACCACTCGGTTTTTATTGTGGTATAGATAGGTACCGACAGTTTTGTGATTCTCGTTCTTTCAGAAAAAAAAAAACATGAGAAGACGTTCGTTCACCGAGAAAGAGTTAGAAATTTTAACCCAAAGAACATTTCATCCAAGTAAATAATATCTCAAATAGGAAAATATATCAATGAAATCAGAAAAAATGGTATTCAGGACCGGAATAAATGTATGATCGACCACACAATGAGTTTCACTGATATAGCGAATCACTTCTTTGTATACCTAACAACCAGTATCTGAGGTCTGAGGATTTGGACCTCTTAGGCAACTCGTAATTCGTTGAATGGTACGCGGGGTGGAACGTTTCCAGGCGAAACCACTGAACGCATTCACACATTCACAATCTGAAGACAAGCAAATTTTTATGTTGGATACGGAAGCAAATTCGCTCCGAAAACGTCAATGTGAAAATGTAATATTTTTATGGTATTCTTCCTTTATCAAACATTCTTCAAAACAAGGTGTCACTCGTTTTTTCAACAGAATTGAACAAGGATTTCGAGAAATTGGATGAAACAAAAATTGTAGTACTTTTGATCCCGATGCGAAAAGTTGTTAGCTCGACCGGAGTAGGCCGGCTAGATTTCGAAAAAAAAAAAAAGATTATATTCAGTATTGAGTGATATAATAAATAAGGAGAGTGTCGTAGGCGATTTTTTTTCTTATTCAAGGTCAAATGCTTTCACATTGAGAATTGGATTTTTTCCTACCCTTTGAATCAGTGATTATTTTCACCAAAATCATGAGTCAAAAAATTTAAATGGAAAACATATTCATTGATTTCAGAAACTAAACAGGTACAAATTTGGTACACCTACCTTCATTCATACGTATTGAAAGAACCAGAGAATATTGAATGACATCGGTCTACGAATGATGAAACAAATTTCTTTCCTTCCTGATCTTTTTTCAGTTTGTTCGTATTCCTTATTATCCTAATATCAGTACCGTGGTATATATACTATTTTTTCCCCACTAGCTATAAAACCTACCATTATTTACTCCTTCCCGAGGCGTGAAGTGTACTTTCACTGCCAAGGTTGTTTTCGTCATTTTATAACCACTAGTCAATAAAGCCATAGCCACCCACCTCTGATATAATAACCCGAACTCACTGTTCTGATGCGATATTTGTAGGGATGACATATATAACATCATCTATCAAAAGGCAGAGTTAGCTCTGGTTCGGATTCGGTGTTGAGTCGAACAAGTGCTTTCTTCCACTCAACCTATGGAGTTAGTATTAAACTACTCTGAATAATCTAAAACTATGTTAACAACTGTATACAGGGTGTTCCACAGGTGGAGGAAAATATTTCAATAGTACATAGGGGTCACCAGGGTGGTTCTGAAAATACCATATTTGATAGGTCTTAGAGTCTTCATAACGGAGATACAGGGCGATTTATCGATTTCGAGTAATTATTCATTCGTCTATTAGTATTGAACTACCCGGTATATTTTCCTCAAGTTCGGTATGGATCTTAAACTTGGCACGTTGAATTTAGTCACCTATCGTGCAAAGCAAACATCCAGGTTCGGCTTCAGGAAAAATTTACATTTATTCGAAATATTAAAATAACACACTGTATGTGATAAT